ATCTCTACTTCTGTCTTATAATATTCATCCATCAGTTATCCTCGTATCTTTTCCCTCACTATCACAACATCTAAGTGGCTTATTTTCGCCTGCTTAAGAGGTGCGTCCTATTTAACGGAGTTAGGGAGGCTTATTTGCAATCCCCACTGGCTTCATTTTTTTCACCCTCTTATGCTAAAAATGTTGACCAACTTAGCCCTTACTATATCCAGGGCATAGAAGTCTGGGAAGAAAAATTGAGCAAAACGACTTAGATTTTCATTATTGGCGGATACCTAAAAGAATCTTAGGGTCGTAAAGAACAAATGGTCATATGAATATTATTCGCTTTCTTGAAGTTCACATCTTCTCCGAGCACTAAGGGCATTCATGGCAATTCAGTGTAATGGTTAACGTATCGAGACCATAAACAGCACTATTACAACATGGGTTCAAGTCCCGCTGGAAGTGCTGAGACGTAGGCGAGATTGAAACTGTGGTAGTCCAACAGGGATAATAATACCTTGTGTGAATTTCACGAAAAGCCAAGCATTTTCCCATATAGCATTCTGTAATGGGAGTGTCGATGAAGCAAAGTTGTATTTAAGTTGTTTGACCTTGTTTTCGCAACTTCGTCCTATTGGTAGGAAGACTTAGAGGAAAGCACCTAGTCCGGAGTCCATAGTATGCATGATTTTTTTCCAGAGTCAAACCGTGGACCGCGACTATACAAAAAGTCCTATTATCTTGGTCTTCATACCTTCAAAGCTTTATTTGCCGTAGCAATCGACTACGTTACTTATTTTTCGTTTATAAGTAGGCTTTCGAGACTACCAGTAGATTATACATAAGTGATTTATTCAACTTATTCCGTAAAAAAGTTTAATGAAAACGTCATATTTACTCATATCATTAGGGAAAAATTCAACTAATAGTCCCCTTATCACCTTAAACGAAATAAGATGAATACATTTTACATATATGATCGACTGATGGTCTCGAAAATCTACTAATAAACGAAAAATATCAAAAGTTAACATTGCATAGCATTTGGGTTAGACTCATATGAAGGTGCCAATGAGACGCAGGTGTGGTCTAAACTGCTATCCACTCTGGACAAGAATACCTTTTGGGAAGCAAAGCAAAGCGAAATTCAATGGCAACGTAAGGCCTACACATGCAATTAAAGGAAAATGCATTAGCAATCCTCTGAACAACTAAACCTTAGAGAATACCTTGGATGACCAAAGTTATTATTTAAGATCTAGTGATATTCTCGAAGCCCTGCTTATAACGAATAACATAAAATGAATGCCAACTTACGAAGAATTCGACAAAAGCGACCTGATTGTCGGCCAACGGAATCATGTACTGCATAGATAGAAACCCTCGTTGATTGAGGCGCATCGAGACGCGACTAGCCATGTTTAATGATCGATTTACGGCAGGTTTTAGCAATGAAAAGCGAAAGCGAGCTAATTGTGGAGCCGGTTGGGCCTGATGTTTGAGATGGGATTCCATAACAGGGCCACAGCAATCGCCGATGTCGCCGGCGGTGGAAGCGACCTGAGTGCACTCAAATACCTCGATGTAGTCGCTAGTTTGTGGGAGGTCGAAGTGCGTAATACCAGTTAGACCGTAAGTTGTGAAACGAAGCCGCGGCTGCAACCCACAGCCTGATGGAAGTACAGCCAGCTCGAGCAGGTCGCTAGTCGGATCAAGCTCAATAAATATCTCACGGAGACACTCACCCTAAAAGTGTGTAATATGAAGCAGAACGGAAGGAGAAATGGAGAAATAGATAGAGAAAAAAGCTAGAAAACTACCTCCTGAGTTTAAGAAGGAAATAAGAAATGCAAATGCAAAGAAAAATAGGGGTCATAAAGAGCAGATTGCAAATAGGATTTTATTAAAATAAGATCACGATTCGAGAGGATGGACAAAAGTGGATATGCCTGCCCTTCTGTAAACTGAGCAAGAAATTGCGACCGTTGCTAAGAAAATGGAATATCAAGGTGATAACAAAATAAAAGATAACATTCTTCACAAGCCTGTCGACACGAGAAAGTTGATAAATTGAATTGCTCGGGAGTCTATAGCATCAAATGCGGCAATTGTGAGCAGAAGTAAATTGGTGAAACAGGAATAGAAATCAAAACAAGAATCAAGGAACACCAAAGTCTATGTTGAAAGATGGACACTGAAAGATCCGAAACAGCACGAACGGGACATGAAATCGAGTGCAAATCGACAGAAAGGCTGGCTGAATATGGTGAAAATTCAAGAAAACGCAAGATACAAGAAGCCATCGATATCCTGACTGAAAGAAATCTAACAAACAACAAACTTGAAGAAAACTTTGCATACTGCCTAAGCAAACTCGGAGATCAGGGAACAACAATATCAGCAAAAAGAAGACGACTGGACAAAGGTCTAGGAAAATAAACTATAAGCAGGTCAGAGAGGAACAATCGAAAACCAAAAGGATACATCTACAGTGAGTCTATACAAATCAAGTAGGAATATCACATTTGGGGGTCGGCATGCGAGAGAAGGTCATGGATTTGGCATTAGAGATAGAAGAGTGAGAGAAACGGTGGTGAAACATTGATAGTTGGCTATCAATAAATAAATTTTCTCATAGACTTGGTCCATTAAGTAAAGACTTGACAATCAGATTCATTCGGTATAAATGCCGCACAGCGATAAGAGAATCTGCAGCGTCAAATTAGGTTGCCATGCCAATTGAGACTCCAGACTTTTGAGGTTTGCTCGATGAGGCTGGTGAATACGTGCTATCAAAGGCTTGAGGCAGAGTGTAAAACATAACGTCTTGAGTAGCACGGATACGGTGGAAGCGATGGCATGAAATCACTGAAACAGGAAGACAATCAAAGGATCCTACGGAGCAAGAGGGGAACTCTGATAGGAGCCGAAGCGAGGGGATTGCAGATTAAACCGCAGCTTTGGATCGACACTCCCGACACAGTGGGAAAGAAGTGGGAACCAGCGGGGATTGTAAATAGGTTTCAAATAGGTTTAGGTGAACAAGAAATTGCGATATTAAAGGGATGATACGAGGATATAGGATAAGTGAATAGTCCAGAACAGGAGAGATACCACAACTGTTTAGCAGATAATTTGTCAAAGGATCAAATTCACTTGTCTCTTTAACGAGTTTTCACGTCGTACTAAGAATGGCAAGGCTCACTGACGATGCCTGTGAAACGTGTGGCAATGTATCAACTCCACGCTCCGACTCTGGAAATTATCATGCATACAATGAACTCTGGACTAGGTTCGTTCTTATAGTTCTTCTTGCCAATATGACCAAATTGCGAAAACAAGTTCAAACAACTTCTATACAACGAAACAAGACCGCGACCATATAAAAGGACACACCATCCTTGACTTCATACCTTCGACCTAATTTTCTGTCCAAAGTTATCTTAGGTACAGAAGCATGTGAATCAGTGATAATATTGCATGTAAAGAAATATGGCAACTTTCGTAAAAATGAATAAGAATAATCAATGTGTAACTTCTATAGAATGTGGTGATGTCTTATCTATAGTACTCAAGATAAAAATAATCCAAATTTACACCGAGGACAATATTTCGCCATTAATGTCGATTTAATCGCTGATATCATTTTGTGAGAAGATACACTATTCTTATTATAGTCTTATGTAACTAAAGGTCAGTGTATTCGAGATAGATCGAAGATAAGGTTGGATTATGCATAGAAATTAATTGAGCCATGCATCGGACTAAGGCTGTTCTTCTCCATACTAGACAAAAATTTCAACTTTTTCTTATATTAATTTGCATTTCCAGTGGAACCAAACTCATGGATATGCCGTTTCAGAAGCAAGAACGCTCAATCCTAGGCCCCAGGACCTTGGTCCTGCAGAATAAACGACTGAAAAGTCAAAACAGGCGTCTCCCGACTCAACTATATTGGGGGCTTTGATGTTAATGTCATTATTATTTGCTATTAAAATTTTGAATTCCTCGAAGATACTGAGTCATGCTCATTGGCAAGATATCCCAAATTCATCCAATCATTATGAGTAATGCATCTTATATTCCATTTTAATAGCTTTTGAAATTACAGGAAGATATTTTTCGCTTATAAGATTTTCAAGATTACCAATAAGTCTTATATAAGAGCTCTATTGACCCTATCTCGCTAAAGGTGATGAAGTGTTTACAAGTAAATCTTTCCAAAATGATATGAGCAGGCCTTACATTTCCATTGAATTTCATATCGCCTTACCTCCCAAAAGATATCCTCATCCAGGCAGGAATGGACTGTAGTTTCGACCTCGACTGAATTGGTCTTACCGGCATCCCCAACGGAACACAAACACGGGTATTTTAGCGCATATACTCGACACGTTAACTACCACGCCACATCTCCACGATTACTTTTGGGTCACAGGGCAAAGAGAATTTCAAGAAAAGTAAGGTCTTCACCATATCACCGTTTCGTTGTGGGATTAACGATTAAGCTATAGCAATCGACTAAATAAGGTATTTTTCGTTTACAGGCAGGTTTTCGGGACTACCAAGAGATCTTATAAAAGAGCTGTATTCACCCTATTTCGTGTCCCACTGGGGCGCTGATGAGGCCTAAGCTAGGTCGAAACTGCTATCCAATCTGGATAAGAATACCATTAGGAAGCAAGTCTATATGAAATTTAATGGAAAAGTAAAACTTACATAAATCTTTATGGGTAAAATTCAACTACCAGTCCTTCATCACCTTTGATGAAATAGGGTGAATACAGCTCTTATACTAGTAGGTCGTTGAACTTTCACGCAATAATAAGAGTAAGCCAAACAATACCATTAAATGTGGCCCAGCCTTGCTTTCCAAAAAGCGAGGTCGAAACTGTAATCCACTTTGGATGAGAATATCTTCAGGGAAAAAAAACTAAGCGAAATTTAATGACATAGTAAGACCTACTGATATTATGAAAAATAGTTAAAAAATTCAACTGTCTGCTGATATTAGATATGAAGACCAAGATGGTGTGGTCTCTTTGGTCGCCATCTCTTTGGTCGCAGTCTCTTTCTAAGTAGCACTATAATATTGATTTTACCTCGTTTTCACAACTTGGTCGGAGCGACAGGGAGATATTGTTGAAAGTACCTAGTCCTGGGTCCTCTACCATAGTATTCGGGATTTCCAGCATCCGGCCATTGAGTTGGAACATTCCCAGACGTTTCGCCAGCATTGTAGTTAACATCGTAAATGAGAGATGACATCATCAGCAGAATTGCAATTCATCAGTGACAAGTTAAGGCAATCCCCCTGCCCCTGACCAATGATAATACCTAAGAAAAGTTGAAACCAAAAGTCTACCCTGGATCAAAATACCTTTTGGGAAGCAAAGCCAAATGAAATGAGTCTTACTCATATCCAAATCGGAAAATTCAATTATCAGTCCTTCATCACCGTATGCGACCTTGGGCGAATACAACTCTTAGTAATGTATCTGGTTCGAAAAAGACCTAAAATCTAAAAAGGTGATAAACAGGATTATCTTTCTATTAAAACTAAAGGAATCCTTAAATATCCTTATAAATATATATATATATATATTCTAAAGTACACTGGAAAACTAGAAAATTAATTAATTAATGTAATTAAGGACATTACATCGAATAAGTGGAAGCAAATAATAGAAATACGACTAATTAATGGCACGCTACTTATAAGTAGAATGTTCACATTTCTTGTGATTGTGAAAAAAATATTGTAGATACAAGTAAGATGGTTTCGATGAATCTCTTAAAAGCAAATTAGTGGGCAGGTCTTCATTTCATATGAAAGTGCTTGATGAAGATATTCCCGTTTTTCTGCAGCCATTTGGCTTTAATAGGATGTTCAGGTTATAGATACGAAGAGAAAATTGGTTTCGATGATTCTCCTGAGATAACATTGTTAGGGGGACCTTCATTTAGGATGAAAGTGCATGAAGAGATTCGTTGGCCGATCTCACCAGATGAGGATGGATGAATCTCGTTGTACTGCCACCGTTTGGCTTTTATACGATATTCATGTTGACGCAGTCCACGAGACTTCCTCCCTCGTTTCGGGTGAAAAGGTACTGAGCTTTCGTCCATCATATGATGGATATCATCAGAGCTGGGTGTCATTCTTGAAAAAGTCTCACGTTAACACTAAAGCAAAAACACTATCCTGCTCTATCTTACTTCTTATATAGACTTTCATCCGAAATGAAGGATCCCCTAACGTTGTTCAGGTTGACACAGTCCATGATACATTATTTTCTCTCTAAACGAGGGAGAATGTCTCGTGGGCTGCGTCAACCTAAACGCCGCTGCAGTACAACGAAAATCAGCCACAGTCGCCTGGTAAGATTGACTTTCAAATCTTTTCATCATTCACTTACATGTGAAATAAAAGTCTCTATGACAAAGAAATATTGGTACAAACTTATGCGGAATCCGTTAATATAATACTTCCACAAAATGTATTTGAAAATATAATAAAAAAATCGGATTGAATACACTATTGCTTCTTTTAGCTCCAGTACAGTTTAAATATAGGGCAGGCTAATGCAATCCAGCAATAGTTAGAAGCTTTAGTTGAAATGAAGGTTGATATTTCCACGCATAGTGAGTAGGTGATATTTCTTTAATATTCACTTCTAGCTCTGATTATGTATGTCACAAGAGAATAGACGAAGGCTCAGCAAGGATATATAGGAATCGGAGGATGACGCGTCAATATCTTACATGTTCAAAGAAATACTCCCAACTACAAAAGAATCTTCATTCTTCAAAATTCCTTGCACTTGAAAGTTCCAATGATATATGCTTAAAATCCCATGATAAAATAAAAGTATTTTCTATCATCTCATTGGCATGACTTACATTTTCATCATCTTAATAACACCTTTGATTGTAGGTACCAAAAGGATTACATTATCTGCAGTTTTTTAACTTCTAATCCCCAATTCATAGTTGTTTTCTTGACTCGCAAGCCTGAATTTTGTTGTGATGTTGTTACCTCGCTCTGATGATGTCCGTCATAT